ATTCGAGTTATTAATGTAAAGAAAATTCATTTCTTCAGGTTCAATATTACTGCACTCTGCCGATACACTATAGATTGTTACATAACTATAATCGTGACATTAGAGAATTAAATAGTCGATGGGATTTTTAAGTAGCTACTTGTGACTAGAAATCGACACTGCGATTGATAACATTAAATGTCGTTTCTTTTACAGATAAGGTTTTGCACATAAAGTTAAAATAAGGCGTGTAAATAATAAGAACGACTTCTTTTATAAAGAAATTCAGTGGTATTGATTAGACCAATTTAATTGAATAACCCTATATTAATAATAGCCGATTATTATTGATAAATAAATTGACTATATCCGCTTGCGGCGATACTGGCAAATTCGATATTCGAATGGAACAGCGTCAATTAAAAATAAGGACAATTTGGAAAAAGAGGAAAATACAGGATTTCGGTGATTTTATCCGGTTAAATAAAATCAATATGGTATTCACGGTTTCAAGCCTGTCATCGCTTTTTTTAGCCCCAGGACCGCAAACCTCGCCTCACGCGAATAAACGGTCTGTTACGTGAGTAGAAAGTATTCGATCGTGAATTGATCTCTCCGAAGACAAACCCTGCCAGGACGGAGACAATCGTGTTCGACGTGAAGGACTCGAATTTAATTGGCAACTTTGATTAAGACAAGTCGAAAAGGAGGTATTAATTACCTCGGATGAGAACTTAATTATGTATGTGCGCCGCAGTTGAACCTCGAGTTTCCGCATTAAAAATATTCGTTAGCGTTAATTCGAAAAGGTCGCTTCGAGTAGGTCGCAAGTTCGGCTCGGAATTAAATTCAGGTATGTAATTCCGAGTAAGGTTCGCGCGCGCGCGCGCTCCAAGTTCCTTGCAAGCGCATTCTTAATTCATTTTGTTTATCGCCTCGCCTCGAGTTCGTCAAGTTCTCGCTTAATCTCTCAACACTCGCACAGTAAGTTAGTTAATCGCGCGAGGGACCTCGCGACAGAGAACGAAACGTTTTCATACGGCCTGTTAACGACTATAAACAGTGCTCGCTGTTCGTTACGATTTCGATGGCTTAATTCGAAGAAGAGTCTGCCGGGTGTAGTTAACAGCGTAACGATCGCCAAGCGTTTTAAGTGGCTCGGTGTTCGGAACTGTAAGATTAATGTCTTCCACTATTTCCGCGCGAATTCGCTTCATTCGATCTCCTCAAGCGGTACAAGTGAAAATTGATCAATCGGTTTTATTTAAAACCCATTACGACGAAGCTCTATCGAGTTTATACGAGGTGTCCCAGAAAAAGTGTTCCAGTCGAAAAGAGGTGATTTTTAACAACAGGCAAAATGCGAAGTGAGGCATGGTTTTTGAATTATTATCAAAAGACAAACAGATTCGAACCAATCTACCCTTTCTCTCATTGGTCAGTGTGTTTAGTTAATAATTAAGAAACCATACGTCACTTTACATTTTGTCTGTCAGAAGCACCTCCAAAATCACCTCTCTTCGTCTGTAGCTTTTTCTTTTTCTGGGATACCCTGTACAGCACTTGGATACTGAGAGACAATTCTGAAACAGAGGTAGAAACCTTTTTCACAAGTTTCTGGATCATATATAAAAGAACATTTTATCGTGGGAAATAATCGTGCTCGCTTTGTATACGCTCAGGTCAGGGCTTATTTGTACATCTGATACGATCTATCGCGGTGGATATCGAACGTGAGTAGAGGCAACAGCGTTGTCAGGACGCGAGGCACTCGATACACAAACTGGGCGAAAGGGAACAGAGGGAGTGCAAGTAGAAGGGTAATCGCGAAATGGTTGGAGAGTCGGAATGAAATGAAATGGAGGCTGTGTTTAAGAGCAAACTGAATCAATAGCTCTACCCTGCGACCCGTAGGCCAAATGTAGGTCATACCGTGATCCCTTTTTCCCCTCTCTATACGGCCCTCCTGCCGCCGGTTGCCTCTCATCGTACGGTGTTCGTTTCCCGAATGAGGAGATGCGCGGTATATTATTGCATCGGCGCCCCGCTAGGTACATGTACAATTTTTCATAAGTAAATTCCACGGATGTTCCGAAGTCTGACCCGGCGCACGGTTATGCGCGTCCCACGAATCGCATATTCGACGCGGATACTTTCCTTCGTGTATTATGAATTTCTATTCATTCCTGTCTGTCGGAAAACACACAAAAACCCGTGAATGGAGATCGACCAATTTCCCGAATGTGTTTTCGCGAAGCTCCTTGTAATTGGGAACGAGTGCGCAACGGACAGGATCCGCGCTCGTACGTCCCGATTTAATATCGACGGGACGCTGATACTTTCGAAACAAACTCGGGGGAACTAAATGTAACTAGTCGCGCGCGATAACAGTGGAATTAACGCGTTATACCCGCGGCCGGGCGGAGCGGTGTAACGGAAGCAATCGTGTCGCGTACGGTAAATTCGTCCGTCATTGGCCCGGAAAACGAGCCGGAAACGGACCGGTCTAAAAATAATTGCCGTTAATGGCGACAATGAATGGTATTGTGTCGAATAACAAAGAGCAGAACGTTGCGGCGGTTGTCGCGCCGACCAAAGTTTTTCCAACGAAACGAGACGCGGCCACTGCACGGGCAAATTAGCAGTTAACAAATTAACAGGGTCGGAGGCGCGGACGTGTACATCGGACGAAACGGGAAAATTGCCGCGGTCCATGGCTTCCTACCGATTGAAATACACCGGCGGTGGCAAATCTATCGATTATTCGCCCTATTGCCGCCCCTCGTCGCTGTGCGTTTGCTGATTCATTATAATTGCAGCGTCGAAACGATCACCTAGGACCGCGGCTGGACCCCGTTTTCCACGATCGTCCCAACCTGCGATTCTGTGCGATCTTATAAAAAAATATTGACAGATTTCAGTTGTTGACACTTTCCATAAAGCGTCCGATCGCTCGGAAGTGCGAGTAGCGTTTTTCTTTCATTTTAATTATCGTCGTTTATCCGAGGCATTGAACCGCGCGAACCGGGTCAGCGAACGGTTATGAATAATATACGCGATTTTTGCGGTCGCGCAGCCGAGCGATTTTAACGCAACGCTGACCCACATCGATGTCCGATTAAACACGACGGCGGTGCGGTGCGTCGTCGAATTTATTATGGATACACCAGACCCGTCGCGCGCCGCGTCGTGTTTTACCTTGGCGAACATTTACGTTGGAATATTGACATCATTATCGCGGATTCATCATTGTCGCAGCGCGAGATTCTCGCGAATGTAAATTTAAGATACTCCCGCGCATCGGTATTGTTTTCGCAGCGGCGGCGGCGTTGAAACCGCGTCCGAGGGGAAAAAAAAGAGCGCAGCACGGTTCGGGACGCTAATTGGAGCTCTGCAAATATGAGCGCGGTTCAACGCGGCTATCAATTCCACTCGCGAATTTTATCCGGAACAATGACGCGGAATAATGAACTTAGCAGCGAACCGATTCCTGTGTTGCTTTTTGAAGAAACATCGTCGACGCGTGAATAAACGGGCACGTTGTCCCGGCACGAATTCAAAGAATCTCGCCAGAAAATGCGTTTTACGCGGTTGTATAAAAAAAAAGCAAATAGAATCTGGGAATTCTGTTGTGTGTATGTGTTCCACGCTCATCGTCCGAATATCTTCACTCTGTAAAAGGGGGACATGGCCGTTCCACGAACGCGTAAAACAATCTGCCGCATAATTAGAAGTTGGAAAATTATTAGGTTTTCTAATTAGGTTGGCGGTGCCCGGGCGAGAGAGAGACGGAGCCAGGAGCTTTCCGAAACTCCATGATCCTGCGGTTTCAACGAAACGCGAACTATAATCGATCCGAAATCCCCGAGTGGAACTAACCAAACACGGGGACGTGGGATTTGTTCAAATTACGATACATCGTCCCGACGTTTCCCGGGGCAAATGCTCGAAGTCTGTTCGAATCCGGAGCGAGAATCGGCTTCTAACAGGCCGTAGCGTCGCCGTCTCCGTCTGCTGCGCACGGCGTTTACAGCTCCCGGTGCATCGACACTTCATTAGCCGCATCAACACCGCAACACGGTAACGTTCCACCCGTAATTTGTTAATAAGGCGCGACGTTAAAGCTACCCGGCTGCGACGATGCGTTCGATCATCAGACCGACGTCTCGCGGTGCCGCGGGTAATTAGCAGATCCTACGGAAATTGCGTCGTTCTCCTCGCGATACTCGAGGCGGATATCTATACGACCATTAGCGTGGCTGTAATAATAATACGCTCTACGATTACCGTAAGACGATCGCAGCAGCCGGTTGGTTCATCTCCGGTAGGATCGACGACACAATTACGAATGTTGTCTCGAGTCAATCCCGTCGTTAGCGATTTAACGATGTAATGCAGTGCGAGAGCGGCCGGCGTCTCTTATCTGCTCTTTTTGTTTCCGCTCGTTTCTATAGGTAGAGGAGGCTGCATTGTTAGCGCGCTCTCCTTTTATCTACCCTCTCCTGTTATTCGGTCGCGCGTCGCCCCGCTTCCCACCTTTTGTCTTTATCCACTCGCGATAACGACGTTCCGTCGGTATCAAATTGATCAGGTGAGACGCGCTTTAACGATGCGACCCGCGTGCCACCGTCTACCACACCGGGCGTGGCCGGGGATCGACCTTCTTCCGTGCCGATTGATCGCGGAATAATTACTATGCTAAGGCTCCCTATCCTCGCACATGATCGGTCGACGGTTCAACGTATCGAGATCTCGCATTTTATACCGCTGTAAATACTACGGTGCAGTATCGCGTGAAACGCGGAACGGCGAACTATTTGAAATTACTACCCCGATCCGCATTGTTCGGACTGTTCGCTTCCAAGAAACGAAAACAATGGAATAGATAAACGACAGCAGGTTTTATTCCAATACGTAGTCTATATGTACAGATGCGAACGTTCTTCATTTCTGATCGAGATCCTTTGGTACGTCAGAAACGATAGAATTCTCCGCGGTTCGATGCCAGAATTGGGACTTAAGTCGCCGGATGTTTCTGACTTTTCTACATTTTTTTACAGTTTCGTCGATAAGTATAAATTGAACTTTCCGACGAATCCAAAAATCGATTCCCGACATTTTCTACCGATTAACATTGACATCGTACCTTGTCAAGGAATGTGTATGTATTCTGTCATCGAACCGCGAGGTTCTAAACAGGAATTACGAGGAATTATCGGGTGGACTGCGGACGGATCAGTATCCCTCGTAATCGTGTTCGTCTTGTTGCGCGGGCTGATGATCGTGAACCCGCAGCTGCTGGCCTTGACCGGCGTAGACGTCGTGGTCGTTCTTGCCGGAAGTGTGCACCACGGCATGAAATCCGTCCTTGTCGGCGCGGTAGCTGACCACACGAACGCTGCCACCTGGCTCTTTCACGCTGTACTGGCCGGACACGGTGCTTCCTGCGGAAAGGAAACGCTCGTGGACAAACGGAAGCCGCGAAACCAATTCCTGAACTCGTAACGAGACGTAATTGGATGCCGGAGAAATTCCGGCCGAAGTGGCTATTAGCATAACAGAGCCTCGGCCAGCCGGGCGGCGGCAGCGACGGCGGCGGCGGGTCGCCCGTGCGAGAAGAGAGATCGAGGACCGATGCCTCTGTCCTCCTTACTTATTTAACCGTTCCCCCGTCGCGCCACTCCCGCATATTCATGATACGCGTCCGACCGAATTTCTCTGCGGACGAAATTCGCACGGACGCGATCCCCTCAAAGGATGTTGACCGTGCGGAAAACTCGCGGCAAACGTTGAATTTTGAACACTCCTTAGAGCTAACAAGATTGACGAGAATTCATTTGCTCCGGACCCTCACCGTCTCGAATTTCTTTCTGACTGTGGAAATCCCCGGTCTCGTGGTCCTCGACTCCGTACGAGAACTGGTACTTCGGCTGGGCGACGTAGTCGACCGTGTAGCCCGGCTGTCCGTGCAAATGATTCGGTTCGTCCTCGTGCGGCACTTTCACCTCGAACACGGGCCCCTCGACCGGTCCGTGAAACTGCAGATACGAGCTGGCCAGCGATCCGTGCTGCTGCAACGGATCCTGTTGCCCGTGAAAACCCTCGCCCAGGGATATCACACCGGCGCGGCACCGACGGCCAACGGCCAGCAGCGCGATGGTCAAGGCGATACCGATCTGTGACGCAAAAAGTTACAAGCGTTTTCTTTCGCGTGGACATCTGCAAAATCCAGTTAGCCATCGACGTAATTCGTGTTTAATGAGTTCGACTTTGCAATGATAAATCGACGATCTTACTTAAATAGGAAAATGCTGGTCTGAGTTGGTCGACCATTCCATCAAAATTGACGAGACAATTTCGATCGTACGTGGAATTCATTCGAATTAATTGACAGTTATCCAACACGGGAAACGGATGACCACAATGATTTGAACATGAATCCTGACGGGATCGAATATCTCGATTATGGGTGCGTGGATTCGGAGATTGAGCCGCGATGAAAAGCAATCGAATGCATACTGCATTTATCGCGGCAAATTGAATCTTGGAGACAGAAAGAGAGAACGATGGATGCATGCACGGTTCGACGAAAAAAAGAGAGAAAGGATCAACCGGTTTGATTGTGAGATGGCCCAGTTTTAATCACGGCGAATGTCAATGGCGGGGTTTCCCATTCGAAAAGAGGATCGGTTAGTCGATTATACCAGCCAATAAATGTTTCGCGTTGTATCGAAATTCGATTCTCTCTTTCTCTCTTTCTCTCTCTCTCTCTCTCTCTTACTCGCGTACCTACGTTGTTTCACCGGTAGCGGGACGAATTATTGGAAACGATTCGCCGCGGAGTGTCCAGAAGAATATTGAGAAAACGAAAAAAGGGAAGAGAATAAACGAGATTTAACGTGATTCGCCTCTCCGCGGCGTGCCCGTTTAATTGTGATCCATTTGTAACGTGGTAACGAGTGTTAAAACAAAACCACGGCGGAAAGAATGCCGGTTGGTTTTAATTGCGTAACGCGCAGTCGGAATACTAAACGGGTCAAGTCCAACGTGGCACAAGCGACTCGGTTCTTCAACATTTTTCCCTCCCAGACGTTTTTGACGTTCTCAAATCACGAACATGCATGCATTTTGAATATGTAACGAAACGCGAATGAAAAATAGGAAGCAGAGAATTTTTTAATAGTATATATTTTATCTAATTTTACGTTCGTTTTTTAACCGATGATCACCGGGCACTCACTCTCGGAAGGAAAGTACCCCGACCGGCGCGGCACTTTCCCTCGGACCTGTTCCTGGATGATACTTTACCTTGGTCCTCATGTCTCTCATTACGGTATTTAAGGAGGCCAGGTGAGAACTGCCACTTTCCACCGGGTTTTCTAGGCTTTTATACCGAGACGCGCATGGACACGTCCCTCGTAAACACAGGCGAATCCGCCAGTTACACGCTGTGTGAATTTCGCTGGTCAGTCCTAGCCCCCCTCTACGAGCTTTCACGCTTGGAGCCAGTCCCATAAAATTTCTCTCCGACGTCGAACCGTGAAACATACAAACAATAATAACTTCGTGGAGAATCCGATTTCGTGAGTCAAGTGGTTCGGAAACGCTCGAGGCTGGACGACAGTCAACGTAAACGTGTAGACAGTGGCTAGATCTCCGGTTGAAAATGATCGACTAATCTTTTCCACGGTGGCTTCGACGGTAACTTTTCCGTAGGCGACGTCAAGCGGCTTCTCTCCTTTTCAGAGACACGAAGCCTGGCGTCGCGACGTCCAGCGACGACGACGACGACGACGACGACGACGACGACGCCTTGCTGGAATAATCCGCTTACTTGGTTCGAGCAAAGGATTTATTTGGATTCTTAACCCCTTGGGAGACTACGACGCTCGGATTGAATCGAGCCGGATCCTACTTTAAATAGCTCGATTTCAGTTGTTCCTCTTTCCCCGCCCCGGGACAGCCGGCCGTCCCGTTCGTTTAATAACGCCGTTTAATTCCTTTATTCGATTGTTTGTTCGAGTTTGAAATACACCCGCTCATCCGATTGTCCGTTCCGAACAACGGGCTTGCGTCTTCTAAAGCATCGTTGCGCTAATCTTCCCGGGGCGTCTCCTACATTTCCGGGTTATCTGGCAAAAGCCCCGACAATTTATTCGAAACGAGATCGCCTCCCGCTAATCACCGTCAGATTGCCGATCGCCGATTCCAATTATCGGATTAGCCGACGCGGTGGAATAGGTGGAGCGGGACGTTGGAAATCTTTCCAGAAGAATAATTTCGCCTGCTGGGAATCAAAGGAGATCAAAAGACCTGATTTCCAGTGAGACAGACCGGAAAACTGGAAGGAAACAGGAAGAACGGGAACCGACTGTAAAGGGTTAGGAAATACGCGTCCGTTCATGGATATTTACAGAAGCTCCTTCAAAGCGGAGAAAATAAGAAAACGGCGGGCGTCCTGTCGTCGAAAAGGGAGGCAGTGACGCTGATCTGAAAAATAACGAGTCTCGCTCGAGCATCTGCCGTCCGCCTAGCTGTTTCGCTTTATACTCTAACGGTCAAGTCTTCCTCTTCCGAAGAAGGAAAATAATTTCCGTACGGGTCTATAAAAAGCGGAGTGAATAAATTAAGCTGTTTGTTAGCAGCGATAAGCCGGCGTCTGATTCCGATTATTTTGCTCGGCAAAGCGTGCCGAGCCAAATGGCTGATACATACTGATCGATTCAAGTGAAGTACATAAAAGATTCTGCTTTCACAGAGCGGAGCCAGCCAGGAGTTGGCTGCCGTTCGAAAGAAATCTTTTCTCGTCGCCGCGGTAAAAATTGCTGAACGATTCTTTATGCGTAAATCAACGGTTTTACGGGGCAGAGAATAGCCTTTTCTCCTAGCCTCGTCAGCATGAATAACAAAATTGTCCGTCGAACGGCGCGACGCACTTACACGTACATAGAGGGGAACGCGTCACCCGTTGTTTATCAGAGCCCGGTGCTAATTAATTCGCTTTGTGAGTTCAATCAGCGCCGATTTAAAAGCGTTACTATTTACTGTGCTTTCAGGCGTTCACCGATTAATGCAAATATATTCGATCGCTCGCCCGTCCGACGAGTCCTCGTTTGTCACGCTGCTTTTCTTCTATATACGATTTTCTAGCGTAACAATTCGATTCGATCTTTGGATCGGAACGTTTCAATCATCTCGCAGGTAGAATGACCGATCATATTCTCGCCGGAACGTTTTCATTCCCCGCGTGCAGGTGAAACGGCTAATGTATGCCAGTCACGTTGCCGTTATACGTGTACGTCAGGCGCGTCTATGTTAAAAGCATGATTCTTTTATATCTGATCCTTTATGAAGGATAATGGTGTATGCAGATGAAAATAAAGGAATCCCGATAAAATTCACAGCACGATCGAATAACGAAACGTGCAAATGTGGGCTTCTCATCAATACGTCGAGCGGCGAACGTTTACCTGAGAACAGTGCGCGACACAATGTCAGCTAGTCAACGTTTTGTATCGGTTATTCAAGAATTTCATCGTCTCGAGATCAAGAACAGATCCTTTAATTTTCCGGGAGTAAATACTCGCTCTATATTCAAATTGCAGGGATATATCGTTCGTGGCCTGGAAGCGAAGAACACGCGAGAGACGCGCGATAATAAAATCCAAATGGAAACAACGATATCGAGGAGAGGAGGGCTCGCGTTTTATGAGGAATCATTGACACGGTTCAAATAACGTACGAACAAAACTGTGGCTGAACAGTAATTTAATACTGCACGCCACGAAACTACCCTCGACATTCTTTCCTAGCCATTCAGAAAACTCTTATAAAATATAAAATAATATATAATACCACTCGAAACAGTACGCCGATCGGCCGGCGCACAGAAATGACTGTACATATGAATGAGAAAAAAATATATATATTTTTATTCATTTATCATTTCATACGTATTTGATTCGGTTGAATGGGGACAGCAACAATTAAAGTGTTAAAAACAGAATTGCGGAGATAAAACATCGGTGGGATAGGAATGGACGTAGGCGAGGTAACGGCATCACCGGGTAAAGTCGTCGGCTCAATTAAAATTCTCGGGAAAATTTCTCATTTAGCCGAAACACTTGCTCTGGAAAGCGGCCATCCGGCCGCCAGGTCGTACGACAAACGGAATTTCGCGCGGGGCCATTTTTCCCGCGGAACAGTTAACCAAGGAGGGTTAAAGCTTGGGTAACGGTAAGGAAACGCAATTCCGACCATCCTTTTCGCGTTATTGCGGTTGTGTCACAGGGTATTCAGAGCGTGACCCGCGGACCGCAGGAAGGCAATGAAACGTTAAAAATGCAGGCTATTAAGGGCCAATGTGCCGGGATACCGTTTCATTTGCATCCACGCCGACGTCTTTCTGTTATTAAAATACAGAAATAGTCCGCGTCTGGCGAAGAACCTCTCGCCTGTCGTCTTCCACTTGTCCCGCGACGAGAATATTCGTTTTCGATCCAATCCGCCGATTGAGCGAACCTTCCTGATTCCCACGACCTCCCGAAATCCTTGAAACACTGGTCGGACGATATAAGCGTTTAGATCCTAAAGCGACTATAATCAATCTTCATTCCCCTCTACTTAATTACGAACGCGTGAAAAGACAGACCGAGCATTGTTCCTACGTGCAGGAATTAACGAACAACCGACAATTACGATGAAAGCGTGAAACGATAAATCAGGTTCAATAGCGTAATGATTAAAAGGGACATCTTGTCGATAAATCCACGAAAGACGATCGTGACAAGGCTTCTCGGCTGGCGTGCGTGCGTGCGTGCCTCTATGCACTCCCTTCTCAGAATTCAATCGGCTATTCCCGATAAATCGATATAACCGTTGCCGTGTTCACGTCCGACGGTCTGGCCGCGCGGATCCGATGGGTCGCGATTAAAAATGAACGCGTCCCCGTGTTAACGCGTTGAATCAAAGTTCGAGTTACTTGCGCTCGTCACGGTTACGTAGCCAAGCGCGACGGGTCCCCCATTCCGCCCTCGCGGATCTTAAGACCTGTTGATCGAGCGCAATCGAGTTCCTCGTCACCGAACAATGTCGTGCACACGCTTCGTGGCCAGCCGGGACACACGTGTATGTCAATTTGCCGACGCCTAACTAATCCTCGAACCACGGCAACAGCCAAACGACACGTGTGACATCGACTGACCATAACAGATTCGCCGGTCATCCTCCAACTCGAATTCCTTATCAACCGTCATTAATGTAAATACATTACACAGTAAATTCTTTATTGAATAACTCGGTAAACTCGGTTTAAACTCTTCTAATTTCGATATTTAATGAGTTACAGATGATTATATGGCATTTTATTGATGTTGACAAAATCCGACCATCCCAGCGTCGAAACGGCGAACTTTTGCAAAAAAATTTCGTTTTTCCTCAATAACTTTTAAACCGTTCGACTTACGGGAAAATTGCATAGGACCTTTCTTGTAGAGGACGACGAGATCTACAATTTCCATGTAAAATTTTTTTGCTGTCATCAATAGTTTACGAGTTATTGACGAAAAACGAAAAAACAGTTTTTTGCAAATAACTCGTAAACTATTGACGTTAGCGAAGAATTTTTACATTGAAATTGTAGATCTCGTCGTCCTCTACAAGAAAGGTCCTATGCAAGTTTCCCGTAGATTCAAGGGTTTGGAAGTTATTGGCAAAAAACGAAAATTTCACAAAATCTGAAGGGGTACCCCTTGGAAAAATCTCAGAAAAATAAAAATTTTTTTTTTTGTTAAAATATGGAAAAATATCGAAATATATTCTAAAAAACGTAAAAAATTCCATACGTTTTAGGCTTGTATTTCTTCAAGTTTGTTTCTTTCAACTTGGCGCACTGTTTTAACCAGTCAAGTTGTTCAAACGTTATCGATGAGTTATGCATAATATAAATTTCTATCAGAATGGCAGACGTATCGCGCGGAGACTTAATGCACTCGGACGACTAGGGTTATTGGCGGCTTTTGAATATAGTGCTTGCGGTAATCCTACTACGGCGACGCTAAGCACTTTGTCGAAGTCAGGAAATCAAAGCCTTTGTAATACTATAGGAAGCAACGTGAAAGCAGCGGGAACACGTCATTCGGACGTATGTATTCCGCGCACACTCCACGTTAAGACCCTTACGATCGTGAACAAGCTATCCGTTCTCCGACCTGAGGTAGAATAGAAGGCAGTTCTTATTCGTCTAAACAGGATGCAACGCACGGAGTGGCATGATTAATTTAATACCCTATTAAACGAGCATCATACTTGTGCTCCGCTGATGCGTCGCGGTAAACTAAGGGTTAATGATCCGCGGACTGGATTACGATCGCAAGCTGTAGCTACAATTAATTCGTACCGCGTTATCATCGTTGCCGATCTAATCCAAATATCACTCCGACGGCGTGAGCACATCGACGAGGAATCGTCGAGGGCGCAGCCCTCCAGGCAATTGTCTTAACCATCACCCAGGCAACGGCGGCGCGGCGCGTTTCGCCCCGGTCTTAACGCCGCAGCATCGATCAAAGAGCCCTCGGGTCCCGAGCTCCGTTGATTATTTTCATCCTAACCGCGCGTACATACATTCTCACAGATTAAACGGTAAGCCACCGTTATAAATGAATCGTGACGTACACGCAACCGGTTGAAATTACAACGAGTCACGTAGCATACGAGCGAGTCATATCAAGAAACGCGGCTCTTCATCCGTTAATAATGCATACAGCGATGTAGTATTTTAAAGTGAAACGAGACATTTAAACGTGCGATCTGTTCTGACGTTAATTTGGAATTTTTTATGATTATGATCAAACGAATATAGCGATCAATGTTGGATCGAAAGCACAAAAGCTTTCGGCGGTTCATGGATCATCGGGTCGAGGCCTTAATTAGTGATGGCCGATTGTAATATACATCGATAAAAAGTAATCAATTTGCGATCGGATCGCAGCTGGACCGCGCATGGACTCGGCAGTGACCCGGCGCGAGATTCGGAGTCTAATTAAACTTGGGATAGGCTCGACCGGGCGATATAATGGGAATAGGGAGATGCTTGGCTCGCCGCCGCTTGAGCGTCATTAATTTATCACGGCATCGAGGAAGTCAAGGCCCGTCGCTCGCGAAAGAATTTCTGCGTGTAATTAAACTATCCCCGCGCGCGGTTTCAAATATTGTTTCTAGATTATCGTTAAATAAACGCGAACGCTATGTCGCGGGGAACAAAGACGTTAATAACGTTCTCGATATTGGTCCGATTTTAATTATCGCGAAATATGTTTGCCACCCTTCGCCGCGAAATCGATTATTCCACTGCTGAGCGTTTTAATTAATCGACGCCGTTAGTTAATGCAGCGCCGCTTTCGATCCATCAGCCGTCTTTATTGTCGATATAAAAAAAACGGCGCAATGAATTGCGATCGATACAGATTTTTAATTTCAACTTTTTATACGTGTGAGAGGCAGCCGTGTTCGAGCGTCTGGTTTTAGTCTGGCCGTGCAACGTCACGACCTTGCTGGTTTTAGACGTTCTATCTATAAGCTTCGTCTGTACTGATCAATCACCCCGGCTGACTGATATTGGACGAACCGCTGGCATCAATCTTTGATTATCCATCCTTCGATGCCTCTCTAATCTTGCTCCTCGTCAATTCTCCTCAATTACGTCATCCACCGATACATATGCACGTCGGGTCTCGAAAAATCTTACAATTAGCACGGATCGGGGGGAGAGGAATAAAAACGATCTTCCGTACGTAGCGACGGAGAACAAAATGAAATGAGAACCTTTTTATTTTACGTAACACAAACTTTTTACAAGGTTGACATAGAACAATTCTTGGACCGTCGCGTTACGTGCGCGACATACTTTCAATAAGAAACAATACGGTTTAATTTAATGTACAGAATTTGTCGTTTGCTGGCTGGTTTAATAATTGTGAGAAAATACGAAGTGATGAGGCTCGCGGTGAGAATAATAATAATCGCCCACGTAGCCTGAGTAATCTTTGTCGTAATTACTGTGGCTTTGTGGATACGCATAATGATGCGGTCCGTAGTCATTAATATCGTCGTTGTGATGATCATGATCAAAATTGTATTCCTCATTGTACCCACGATGTCCATCTTCGTCGTCATCGCCATATTTGTATTCGAACCCATCGTCGAAATGATATCCATCGTAGTTACAGTCACCATACTTGCACCCATGCTTTGTTTTATCTTTCTCTTTATGACTATGAACGTATCGGACGCTGTAATATCCGCCATAGTGATCGTTGTTTAAAGGACTGCCATGGTCGTAATGATAATCGTGTTCGTACTTGTGATCGTTAATCGTCTTTTCATCTGTAAATCACGTTTCACCTTAGATTTTTATTTCACTGACGTTCAACTGTGCATTACCGTCATCGTGACCCCAGTGCGCTTCCCTTTTGTCACGGCCACTCTTAACGACGGACGGGGACGAGTATCCTTTATTAAATTTGTGATCTTCTCTGCCATTATTCCAGACTGCCCTCTTTACTCTGCCTCTGCTACCGGTTGATTCAAATGTAAACGCGACGTTCGTTAAGGCGCTTAACAGAATTAAGTATAAAATCTGGAAGGATGAGGAAAAAACCGTCCTACAAAATTTACGAACGTGAAATATTCTACGGATTACACGTGCCGTTACCTTTAAATCCATCGGTATTTTTCAAACTTGTTTACCGCGCGCCTCTGACAACCCGACTGACTAATCGAGCATTATTTATCAGGCTTTTATAGCCGTAGGAAATTACGTGATTCTTTCTTCTGGCGAACACAGAAATACTATTACTTAATCGTAATTTGCAGACGTATGTACGGTTTAACGGATCGATTCATTTTTGCTCTGGATTTAGTTACTTTCTAAAGTCCCTTCACTCGGGAATAAGTAAATTCCTCGATTCCGGGAAGAGGAAATTCGTCCTTATCGGCGTAAAAAATTTGGTTGCCGACCCATAAGGGCAATCTGGAACTTTTCCTTAAAGTGTACTTTTCTAACAGGAAAGGGATCGAGAGGAGGAAGTCCTTTCACAGGAATCCGATAAGAAGTTGTCTATTGCAGCGACGGTATGTTGATAGGGGTCCTTTTGTAGCGCTATTCGTTTGGTTAGTAGATTGGATCGAACGTGACCGTCGGGACGTTCGGGTTAGCGAGTTCGAAAAGTACCCCGTTGACAGTATTACCAATTTCGAACGATTTTTCCGTTCCCTCTAAGAAAGCCCGCCGCGGCATTCAGAATTTTCACAAGGGTCGCAAATTATCCGCGATAAAATGATTTATCCGTGAGCGACGTGGCGAGTACCCGTGAATCGATTACTGAACCCGGATAACTGGTAGTATTCTTGGCCCGAGAAATAAATTATCCGTAATCGATGGCCGATCGTCTCGGCTGCAATTCAAACTTTCGAAATCGTCGATTGCTCCGAGCGACTGTCGTCGACTGGGTCGTCGGCCAGGAAATTATAGCCGGTACCCGGGTCTGTACTAGCGGCACTTAGAAAGTAATTACTACGGGGGAAGGGCGGAACCCGGTGCAAAAAGTTTACCCGTTGTTTCCGTCACGTTTTAAATTTATACCATCGACGTATCGCGCGCGCGGGTATCAGACATTATCATAAATCGAGCGCATACACGGAAGTCGCAACGTTTATTTCTTTCTTGTTCGCCATCGTATCGGATGGGACGATTTACGAGTTCGTTAGATTTCCCGGGTGGCTTTGCAAGCATCCCCTTTCGTCTCTTCACGGTGACAAAACGTTATTCTTCTTATTTTTGTGTCTTATCGAATCTTCAGTAGAATATAATCGTACTGGTCAGACGTGGGAAATTCTCGCCGCGGAGATGTAGGTGCCCAACCGTCGGGGATTACCTTCCAAGATTTTCTGAAATTACAGCGTCGCTCGCACTCCACTTTTGTCCCTCTCGGTCTGAATGGGGTCTTGGGAAACTTTTCGACGACCGGTTTAAACCGTTGCGCCGGACAATGAGAAATTCCGCTGGTTTCCACAGAGTAAAGGGACACGTATTTAGCGTACGCGGGAATTTATTTCGAAGCTGCGACATGTCCGAGCAAAAACAGGGACACGGCATTACGGTGGGAAGCTCGATCGGGCGTTCGGTACGTGTTCGGCAATTTCACGACTGGCCATAATTAGCCACCTGGCAAAACAGTACTCTGGATCCCGGACCGGCTCGTCAAGTGCCCGGATCTTCCCCGGATTACTAATTTGTCACGATGATGTATTGTGATGGCGTAATTAGAAGTTGTCGCCTCATGAATTACAACAGCGCGGCGCGGTGCGGCGCGCGAGCAATTCTTGGCTTACCGCGCGATCCGCACACTCTTGCGCATTCCTGAGAACGCGTGACACAATTGGGCTATTACGGCCATTCATTATACCGTAATTGTATTCAGCTTAATTTCACGTTACGTTTTCACAGTCGGAAACAATAGTGTAGCCCCGACGCTGCTGCATTGTCATTACTGCGAAACGTGGTCCACCCTGGCCCCGGACAACAGGAACCAGACCTGAGCCCGGTCCACTGCATTATTAAGCAGTTCCGGCGACGTAATTCACTTAATGCAGATTATTTTTGCGGCGGTACCATAAATACTCCGGTGGCTGCTAAAAATTCCTCGTTTTATACGGAATTAACAGCATCTGACTTGAAAATGACGATTGAACAGCGGGACGGTGTACCGCGTTTACGACTCGACGGGACCTCGTCGCACCTCGGCTGGTCGTCAAAGTCTTTACGATCGATGCTAATACCCCCCTCGAAAAATGGTCGCCAGTATTAAGGGCCTACGCACTGGCAGGCCGTATAGTTCGACACGGTGGCCGACTATAAATCACGATTGTATCGCCGAACGAAGTCAGAAAACGTCAACGACCAGAGGGCGGAATACAGAATCATGTTCAGTGGTCTTTCTCAGATTTACGAGATCGAGTTTACGATTTCACAAAGGGGGACGTGTTTTAATTAATCAAGGAGTCGCCTGTTTCTTCGAACGTGAAACAGTATCGATCACGGCTGCCTATTAAGGTCGCAATTGTTACCGAATCGCTCTCGAGGTCGCTAACGAGCCTCTAATCGTCTCTGTACGGAAGCTCGACGAGGGAAAGTTAAACGTGTCGCGTGCTCTCAACCTCTTTTAATACCGTTTCACTGAAACGACACTGATTCGTCGGAGGGATTCGTCGTCCGATCAGCTGATGTTTGCTCGCGTTTCAATCGCACCCACGTCGGTAGAAAGTTACCGGGAAAAGTAGATCGCGTGCAACGTGAGCAAAATCGCGAGGAGACCCAACCCTCGGAAACAGTATTATCACTATTATTGGAAAATTCTCTAGGACAATTACGAACAGATTTCATTTTCTGACACACGAAGATAAATCATTATTGTATACATTTTAACACCACGTCTAATTATCGTTAGGGAGCACGATGCTGTCAGCGTTACAAGAGTAACAGCGTTGTAAATCATCTTTACGGCTCGTTTTACGAAGGCGTTGGGTCAAGTATCTCGCACGAGGGGAAGTCATAGGGGTGGCTCGTGGAATTACTTTGGTTTCGGTCCCCGGGTAGTAAAGCCAGAAACAGCGAGCCAGTCGAAATCGATACGTTGAACCAGCACCTTTTTTACTCAACGATTCTCGCAATATGTACCAACGAAACAAACGATCCCGACTAGATACACCGTTCATGCATTATGCAGACGATTATCGCGCATTAAAGGGCAACAGACCGTCATCCATTCCCGGGCTTGTCTCGCGCGAACACGGCCCGGCTGTTTCGTCGCTGCATCACAATGGAACGAAAAAAAAAAATAAAAAAGAAGTGGGACGAAGTCGACGAGGCGGTAATTTCGCGACACGCTTCTTCGGCTGTCGTTTAAATCATCGGGCTCACTCGTCGACGCGCGGGATACGAAAATAAAGCTTGCTAACTGTCCATTTATCTGGCCGGAGCGACCCTATTGAAATATTCATGCGGATCGGGGCTGCTTCCAACAATAAACTCGCGGGACGCGTCCCGGCGGCGTGCGGCAGGTAGCTAGCTCGACCGAATGCACGGCCAATCGATTACACCCCGGAGGGCGAAAGGCATCGTCACGCCAACGTTCCCCGACGAAATACGACGGGATATTAAGGATTCCTGTCTCCGTTAGTCATTCCGTCGTTAGCTCGTACTTCGTACGATACGCCTTGAGCAAATCGTCGCTGATTTTAGACGTCGCATGCGTTAGCATTCTTCATGAACGGTGAAGTCCCGTTGAACGCGAGATCTCTGTCTACACTGAGTCTCTATTCTGTAATCCATAATTTCAATTAAAAGTTGCAATTAATATAACGCGACTTCGTTGAAAGGAACGACTTGAATGGGACAATCGCGAATGAAACCAAGTCCCGTGTAAAGCGTTTTGAATGTGACCCAGTTTTCTTTTTTCCCGGAGAAAGCGCCGGGAGGCGAGAGAATACCTCTTGGTTAACTTTATTGCCGCGTGAAAAGTTGTTGATTTAGTGGTCGCCGGCCGCGAAACGGCTAATGCGCGGTAGGTACACTCGCGCTAACGATGCACCGCGTCAGGTCGCTAAACAATCCTGTTCACCGTTTGGAATCGCGCTGATTCAGAGACAGTGCCAAAGCGTAGAGTATATTACCGGGACGAAAAGCGAATGAGCTGTGATCACGTTGCGCGCCGTCTTTGTTTTAACCGCGGGAAATGAAGTTCGCCTGAAAAATAGTGTCGATCTTTTTTCGTTCCACCAGACGCCGAGGAAACGTTCAGTTGGACGGTAAATTCTCGTTAGGACGGTTACTATGCTTTTTATTATGCGGATTATGAAGAGGGAAGGCAAAGATTCGTTTAAAGATTTTTTTTCCCCCTCCTGAACCCCCCAGAGTTCTCTCTCTATATTATGAACTACAAAAGGATTGAAATATTCGCGGCATAATGAGAAATTTCAAACTCTCCTTCGTACAATGCTGGTTTGTATTGTTGGCTGACAAAGGGATTAAAGTGCTCTGCACACGATTTATTTTTAGCTTGCTTCATATTGTCGGAAAATTACAAATATTGTTACGGACTTTTCGGATTTTCGTTCCTGTTTAACAGCTCGATAAATCGTAACTAGGTTTCGTTTTCGTGTGGAACCTCGTTTTATATCCGGGATCAGAGCCGAGCGTTGGTTCGTCGGACGAGAAATTTGCTGGCTCCCGCGCAGTCCGCATCCCCGCCGAACGTCGTACGGATTAGGATTCGCAAACGCCGGAGTTTCTTTCGTTCGTTTATCTGAATTTACCGGATTAAAGCGCGAAAGGAGGACGGAGGATCCACGGAAGATTGGCCGCGTCGGAACTCGCTGCTCGAGTTCCAGGCGTGCCAGCCGGTTGGCCACGATCGGCGGCGCTCATCGCACGAAACTTCCATCGAGGCAAATCGATTCCACCCTCGCGTCGTCTCTGTTGCACGGGAATTCCTCGCGCGAGTAACGCGAAACGGCTAATCGAAGAAATTCGTCGGCTTTCATCTAGCCTTATTCTCGTTTCACCGGTGAACGCGGCGCTCGCCTCCGTTAATTACACTTTATTTCTGAAACGCCGTGGAACCCAGGCAGCCGCTGCAATTAAACGCAGAGCCTCGCCGAACGCATCGACACGAGAAGGCAATAAGACGCGTTTGTTCAACGAAAAGACTACCTTCAATGATTCCTCCCGGAACGATTCTATGGGACTACGATATAAACTTGAAGCACGTTCGATACCTCGTGCTTCTCACACATTTTTCTCTTCAACATGTACAGTTTCACGTTCTACGGGATTTAGCTTTAAAGCTCTTCAAGTCCTAGCGATTTTTCCGCCGTCTCGCTGACAGCTAAATCCTTCGCCGCACTTACGGTCGCTTAAACAAATTGCGCGGCGGAACAACAAATTTTCTAGCGAGACAATTCCACCCCCGCATTAACTTTTAACTCGGCTCCTCGCGCGGGGCTGTTTTTAATTTCCCGGATTGAACCGCGGTAAATTTTCACGAGATTACATATTCGATCGGGTGTGAAACGGGGAATTACTAATACGTATTTCATGCGCGTGTCTCATATTTAACTGAAAACCCGTGAGGAGATGAAATATGAAATCTATTTGGAGTGCTTGGCAAGAGACAGATTTTTAAATATTAACTCCGCGCGTCACGTGGTTAATTTAACATTTAAACGAGAGCTGGACGCGTACGTGTCCGCTGGTTACGATTCTTCACGGTGCGCCGATGGGGGAAGAGAAAAGGATGACCCACGCAATTTCGTGAAATCTTTTCTCCGTCTTACTCTGATCCTCTTCCTCGGTCCCTTTGATTCCTACCTTGACGGAATTCTTAAAGAGCTCGACTTGCTAGATTCGCGCACTGATTCGAGAGCCGTGACCTTTTACGTGCCAGGTCCCGGGAGGTTTAAGTCGGGAGCTCGATAATCCCCCGCATATTTGTTCCTCTCGCGTTCAATCACATTTGTTCGTTGGTTAATTCAAAATGAAAATGTTTAAATCGTCTAGGTAAGAACGTTCTGATTCTTTTTCATGTTCTCAGGTGAAAAGTAAGCCCGTAAAGGGTGAGTCGAATCCGGAGTACGGAAGAAATACGAGCATCCGCCCAGGCCAGTAGTTCAGAAGCTAAAGCTCTTCCCAACGGACCACGGATGATGTTGGCAACGCGTTGCGTTGTAGCAACTCTGGAAACAACGGTCTGCCTCCTAGGTACAGTACAAACGTACGATGCAGACCGAAAACCTTGTCCCCGGTTTCTGGTCGTGTTCCTGGGATGCTGACAGCTCTCCAGCGGGACAATGTAGGCTCCCGCTGCCGCCCGGGAACACTCGCGAAGTGAGCACACACAGCAGCGAGTCCATCGAGGTCCGCGGTATTTGTATAGCCGCGCTTGTCATTTCCATTTTGGTGCGTCGCTTAACAATAGGATTACCCTACTCGGCGTGCACGCATCTGTTTTGCTTACTCCAAGCCAGAAGCGTGCCGACGCGCACGCGATATTTCCGTGGAAAAATTCTACGGAATGAAGACGAATCGCGGGTTTGATTGATTCGCACGGCTAACCACCGCGGCGTTACTTGATGCAAGAGAGCTGTAGGGAGAAATTTAGATATAATTAATCCTACTTCGTTCCCGGCGTGACCTCTTATTTTCTGCACATCGTATTCTGTCCGTGTGAATACCGAGAAAGTATAAGGGAATTCAGGAAATAGAGCAAGTCTAATGGGGACAACTGCACTCCATCGATGCTGGCCTCTTAAAAGATTTTTATCTTCTTTTTTTTATTTATTACCTTAAAGGAGTATTATATAAATCATTATTATAGTGAAACTAATTACGAAGGCGATCTTTTGATGTCCGGTATCAAGAGAACAATCACGTTAATAATAGCTAGACAAAGAATAATGCACTATGAAAATAAAATATAATATAATAGATATTTAAAGATAATAATAATAACAGGAAATAGCTAGACAAAGAATAATGCGCTATAAAAATAAAATATAATATAATAGATATTTAAAGATAATAATAACAGGCTATAATTCATTAATCGTAGTATAGAATAATGTATCGTTTTAATGTTATAGTGAAACTAATTACGAGGCGATCTTTTGATATTTGGTATCAAGAGAACAATCCGCTTAATAACAACGTAACGATACTAAGCCGTTGAAATAAGCAAGGTACGTATACAATAATGTGCATGTATGATATTTTGATGCGGGTAATATATTGTACGAGCCCGTTAGCTGGAAACTTCGTTAAAATACGTTTCACTGCATGAACTTGTTGACCGAGTCTGCGTATACAGGTCGTTCCATTCATCCGGAGTGCCTCTATGCTTCTGTAAAAAGCTGAAAGCGCTCAGAAGTATCGTACGAGCTGCGAGAAAATATTGACAGGTAAACTTCTCGTGGTCAAGATACTTTTTAATCATACTTCAGCGACGCGTTTGTAATTGTTGTTTTGAGTAAAACCAGGACGATGTTTGGCAAATATGAATGTGGGCGTTAAAAATCCAAGAAACACTCCAATTTATTTAATCTAATATCAAACATTTTTGTCGTGAGTCTCAGAGTCAGTCTGACCCATTTGCGCTATTTTTATGGTACTCCAGGTCATTGTTCTGTCTTATGATTAATGAATTCTAGTTTACTATTCATATTATTTTTAAATTATATTATATTTTATTTTCATACTGTATTATTTTTCGTCTAACGTGGTTACTTAATTATTAAAACAAATGTTTTAATTATCTCGTAATTATTTTTAGTATTTTCGAAACTCTGTTCTATATTATGATTAATAAATTATTATAATGTATTATATTTTATTTTCATACTGTATTATTTTTCGTCTAACGTGGTTACTTAATTATTAAAACAAATGTTTTAATTATCTCGTAATTATTTTTAGTATTTTCGAAACTCTGTTCTATATTATGATTAATAAATTATTATAATGTATTATATTTTATTTTCATACTGTATTATTTTTCGTCTAACGTGGTTACTTAATTATTAAAACAAATGTTTTAATTATCTCGTAATTATTTTTAGTATTTTCGAAACTCTGTTCTATATTATGATTAATAAATTATTATAATGTATTATATTTTATTTTCATACTGTATTATTTTTCGTCTAACGTGGTTACTTAATTATTAAAACAAATGTTTTAATTATCTCGTAATTATTTTTAGTATTTTCGAAACTCTGTTCTATATTATGATTAATAAATTATTATAATGTATTATATTTTATTTTCATACTGTATTATTTTTCGTCTAACGTGGTTACTTAATTATTAAAACAAATGTTTTAATTATCTCGTAATTATTTTTAGTATTTTCGAAACTCTGTTCTATATTATGATTAATAAATTATTATAATGTATTATATTTTATTTTCATACTGTATTATTTTTCGTCTAACGTGGTTACTTAATTATTAAAACAAATGTTTTAATTATCTCGTAATTATTTTTAGTATTTTCGAAACTCTGTTCTATATTATGATTAATAAATTATTATAATGTATTATATTTTATTTTCATACTGTATTATTTTTCGTCTAACGTGGTTACTTAATTATTAAAACAAATGTTTTAATTATCTCGTAATTATTTTTAGTATTTTCGAAACTCTGTTCTATATTATGATTAATAAATTATTATAATGTATTATATTTTATTTTATTCTCATGCTGCATTATTCTTTTGGTCTCTGAACTAGTACAGAAATTACTTAATTATTTAATTAATTAACATAATCTAGATGGATTGGAATTTGTGATATAGACGTCGGTCTGGTCAAAGTTCAACGTCTACAGTTGAAACTTACGCCATTAGCATAGTACAAAGAGAACCTAATAGACCAGTATCATGAACAGCGGCTATTAAGACCTCCAACTGACAACACGCAGCTCTATCGACGAAAATGACGGCGTACGAAAGTTTCGAAGAAAAGTTTTTGTTAACCACTTCCATGGGGATAACGACTTCGACGATGCCCGCCACGAGCTTCAGCTTTTATTCTCCTTTTGCCAGTCGTTATTCTTTCCCTACCCCAGCAACAAACACGTAATAGCCGGCTCTTTTTTCCCCAGTCCAACTTTTTCCGCGCAGTTCTTTATTCCTCGTCGCTGTGGACGAACTGTTAATATACCGTGTCTACGTGACAGCGAAACTTCGCAACTTCCCTTCCTTTTTTTTTTCCTCTATTCAAACAGAACGCTGGACCTTCTCGTGCAGAAATTCTAATTTCGATTTGATCGCTAGTGTAAGAAATTGTCGGAACGTGTTCGATTCGCTTCGAGACAAAGTCGATCGCCCGGTCGAAACCCGACTTGTCACTAGCAGGGAACCATGGCGCGCGGTTTCGAGTTTTCCGCCGATTCGAAAACGGTTTTTAGTCCGCGCTGGTCCGCGGCGAGTAACAACTTCGGCGACGTGTTCGCCGCGTTATGGCTGTGACACACATCACGTAACTTTCTACGAGTTTTTATCGGCGCTCGGTGAAAACGGCTGATTTCCAGCGTAGCGGCTACAGCGCGCGCGCGCTTCCCCGTCGGGATATTTATTGTCTCGCGTCGCCGGGAAACTCGTACCGCGAAAAACTTCGTCTCGTGGGTCTAGTCAAATTTCCGAGCGCGTCGCGTTTTTCCGAGTCGGCTTTTTCCGCGCCGCGCTCCCGAGACGACGGCGTTTCGGCGCAGCCGTTCCTTTGAACCGTCTCGTTTTCATATCACGGCGAATTCGCTTCGGGAAACCGTAACGCTATACGACGTTAGCTACGACCGAATAGAAAAGCGAGCCACGGTAATAGGCGCGAGCATGCCGTTAAGTAAGAACGCTGGTATCCATTACGCGCTGTTAACGATAAAACGTTTTACTGGTTATATGCCGGCCCCCGTTTCACCAGTCATTACGTATTCGTGACGGGATTTAATATCGCGAAAATCTTTCGACGCAATTTCACTGAATATTACCTTCAACGAATTAGCCGTTAATTAGTGGCAACAAATTATTCCGACCTTTGCCGGGATACAGAATAATACATGGGAATCATTTTTATTTGCAAAGTGGCATGTATATGTACAGGTAAACGCTGTGTATGTGTTTCCTACGATTTAAACTGTACCGGGACAAGCGACCGCATCGTCCAGTTCTCCGGTTCACTGTTACCCGCTTTAGAACTCAATTATCTAATTCACCATAGTTGTATTAGGTATCGTCGAAAGTTTGTTAATGTATATACAAACACTTGCTGCGATTCCACCGGGTCCGTGTTATATACCACACATTTCGCTAATTGAATTTACGATACCACGACGATTTTAGTAAAATAATTATGATAACGAGTGTAATTTACAATTAGAATAAAAGGCACTTTAGTACTTGTGAACGTCCAGGGGTTGAAATGAGGTTCGTTTAATGAGGATGAACAATTCATCGTTAATAATTCTCGTTACATATAATTATACGGGTTGGCACTTTAAAATTTCTTCGGCTTATTATGATGTAAAAAATATTTTTGTAAAAAATAAATATTGCATATTTCGTATTTTGATAATTTTTAAAAAGACTTGCTCGGTCACACTTTCGATAGGTAAATTCAACGAGCGACGAACCGGCGAGTGGTGATTAACTTGACAGCGTCGGCACTTGGGATCGTCACGTTCCTTTTACTCTCCATAAATCAACATCTCCCGGCGCGCTTAAAGAAAGCCGAGTTGTTCGTAGAGATCGGTATTGTTTAATTTCTGAACAATGCAAATATTTGTCACCGTTCCGTGTGAAATCGTCGCCGGAGAATTATATGTACACGTACACTGCGCCTCGGAGTTTACGTATCCGATACGAGTTGTTTGCTTAATCGCGACCGACTGGCAACGATACTTCTCTTTACGTTAAATCCCCGAATCCTGTAATAAATGCGTTTCCTTAAACGTGAGGAAACCCGAGTTTCCCGAAATGTCTAACGTGTACAACACAAATGTCTTAAAGCTTAGAATATTTATCATTGTATTATATTGTACAAAAGAGAACGATTGTAAAAACGAAATAAAAAAAATTCTAGTGAATATCAGAAATTATTTATAGTATATTTTTATTGGCATGAATGAAAGCGAGAGTAGAAAGCGGGGGATATAAGATATTTAATATTCGAACCGCGTCGTAAAGCCGTGCGCTAGGAAGTCTCTTATTTTTCGTCGACGTAGTCCCCCAACGCGGCGGTATGCTATCAGAAGATTTGCTTACATTGGTTTTGCATTACCTGCTTCCTATACCTCGTAAAGATGAGATATAGGCGAGGTATCTGGATCGTCTACATCGTGTTCAGCTACTGTATATATTTAATAAAAACACTTTTCCTAACTGTGTCGCGGTACAATATACATAATGGGTTTCTGGCATCCGCTTTCATTACACAAACACCGTGGTAACGGTATTGGATAATTAATGATTATTTGTACAACGCGTGGTGATCACCAAACTGCACTTTTTCTTAGAGAACTTTCTTTGCATCGAAGTCTCTATTAGATTTGTTTGAGAATATCGGCAATTTCGGTCTAGTCGAGCATGCTCGATAAATCGTAGGAAACCGCAGGTTTGACAATCGGCCGAAAGGAATTTCTTAAAGCAGAGTCAATGAAGAATAGTGCCATTAAGCGAGTCTTACCGAGCGCGTAATCTTCGTCGAACAGCGGTTTCATCGATTCTGAAAGTAGCCTAGTAAAGCCGATACCGGGGCAAAGCCGGATTCGAGCTTAACCGCGTGGCTCCGCTCCGATAAAGTTTTCGTTACGGATCGTGGGTTCACGCTAGAAGCCGATTTTTCGTCCACGTTTCCGAGTACGCGGCGGCCTCGCAACTCACTCTTTCTCGTTCTCCGGTACTCCACTGGCCCGGACGGCGGCGGCGGCGGCGGCCCCTCGAAAACCGAGGAAATGCAACGCGACGCAATAGTGGCTTATAAGAACACTCATGAATAATGCAGCAACGCAAACAAAAGTGGGGCCCGAGCTACCGTCTTGCTATATAATACCTGTGTATTTTACAAACACCGACGCCCCCGTTTCTTACCATCTCCGGTACCAATCCAGTGCCATCCTGCCCGTCCCGCAGGCTCTCATCGTTATCGCACTACGTGTACAATTACACCGCGTTCTCCACTCTTACAACGCGTCTATAATTCACTGCTCGTATTTAAATAACGACGTATATCGAAGCAGACTTTTAATAATAATTGTTATAACTGTTGGAAACTACGTGATATAAGTTGAATTCAATTTTGTAACTACAACTCGAACTCTCCTTAGCTGTTCTTGAATTTTAATAAAACTTCGCTTAACTCTTTGCTCACCCGGAATCCTGGCTGGCAGGTACATTTACAAGTTTAAAAATAGATAACCGCTATAAAGTTTCGGAAAAATCGAGTTTCTTCTTTTCTACCAGTTATTCAATTAAATTGTTCGTCGAGCGGACGCGCGGGCGCGTCCACCTAGTCGGAGACGGGCGGCGCGGCGTCTCGTCGTTTTCACCGCCGGGGTATTAAAGTCTGATCCATAAATAAGCAATTCGGAGCGAGACGCATCGGGCTCGTTGTTCGGTTTAATCCAGTTGTACACCAGCGACTCGGCCCCGGAAAAGAGGACACGCGAGAGCGGTTCCCGACGATTTTCACCCCTCGCATTTCCGGCGAGAGCAAACTCGATGAACTAGCAGGTTTAAGCGAAACACGTCCGGGATTATTTTCACTTTATTCACTCCCCCCGACCCCGTCGCGGGCGGCGGCCGCGCGCCGGGCATTTTCTCCCGGGTAAAAATCCCGGGTACGCGAGGGAAAAAGCCCAATGGAAAGCCGATGTGTCGAATAATTTAGCTGTTTGAATATTCATAAGAAGCTCCTAATTGTCCGTCGGATGGAGAGAGTTCGCCCCGGTTTTCGGTCCGGGTGACAGGATCCACGGCGACGTCGACTGCTTTTTGATTGTAGGAGCTCTATTTACTGCCAACCACCCACCTCCCCTACTCCCGCCTTTCTCGCAAGCTCCGTCGCGGGCTTAATTTCGCTGGAACGAACTGTCAACCGTGTCGCGGAGTATCATCGTTCGCTGGAAGGGATTGTAAATTGCGTCGCCGTTTCGCAACGGAGTAAAAGATCCTTATCCCGGGTCCTCGACGCAATTAACTTGTCGCTTGATATTCCGGGGCTCCGGTGCCCCCGTCTCCCCTCGGGGGTAACGAACCCTTTCAGTCCATCGATCTGTCATCAAGTAGGAATGTCGAGAACAAACATTTGACGCCGTGTACAGCGTACAGAAGAATTACTGGCATCAGGGAGGTGCATATCTCGCGTTCAAACAGTAACATATTTCTGGTGAACCGCGTCGCTATTTTGCCGTTTTTCATTCATTCGAAAAATTCTGTTTCTATATACAAAAAAAAGGAGGAAATTTTTAACGTTGCGAAATGATAAACGATGAAAGCATTATCGTCGGTAGTGAGAGAAGAGGGTTTTGTTCGAGTTCCATTATTTTCTTGTCTCGTTGATTGCGATACGGGATCGAGGCGTTACAGGTTTCTCGTACTTATCCCTTTCTTTTTTGCTTCGCTCCCCAGGGGTTGCTGGTTTCTATCTTTCGAAAGCTCGCTCACGATGTTCTATCTAACCCATTACGAGTAGCTGGCTACTTGATAGATACACCGATCAGCCTCAAACGTCGTGTCGACGTATCGGTTTGCGTTAGTACACTTCTACCTGATCAACCAATCCCTCTGCCTAATCACAGAAGCAGAGAGACCTCGAGGAGTAAACGTTGCCCGAGACTCTCTGTTCAACGTTGCAGGTATCAGATTCGAACGGACACGCGGACGGGGAATTATTCCAGCTAGTGACCCGTTCGACGGACGAGATCGATCGCATAATCCGGCGGTCCGTAGGGCAATCAATGGACGTCGACTTGCGTCTTGCTCGATTATTCCCGACGAAACAAAAGAAGAAGGAGGAATCTCGTTCGAAGGTATAAATCGTCGCACTGTCAAGAGGACGCGCCGCCGTCGCGTCGTCGTCGTCGTCGTCGTATCGTTCCTTCAGCGGCGTTATTACGATTCCTCGATGCGAAGAAAATATTTTATCGGAACTAGTCTGCGCGCGACTGGAAAGATGAAATTGAACGATGCGTCAGCCGCGATTCAGAAGGATCGCATTATTTCTTTCGTGTCGCGGATGAAACGACGACGTGACGAGACGAGACGTCGTTCGACCACACGCGGTGTGCCGGTGTGTAGCGTGCATAATGGTGCAACGTTTGCGTGGGAACTTTATTCGTGCGGGTTTTTTTTTCTGAACATTTGCTGTTTCTTAACGGGCCAGGGAAGAACATAAAGGGAGGCATAAAACTGGATTAGGTCGCACGGTTTTAAGCGGTCCCGCGGCGAATTTATCGCGTATAATTAACAATGCCCGTTTAGGGGTACAAACTGAACCTCGTTGCATTCTCACCGAATAATTTTTCTCAATTTCCACGCTGCATTCTAGCGGACTTTACCCGTAACTGTTTTCATACACACGAGATTAGTTTGGGTCATGTTCGCTATATATGTATTTGCATTTATTATGTACGACACGCCGCCGCGGGGAAACACGTTTTACAAAAAAATATGTTTCGCCCTGTTCCATGTTTTCCCTTCGCTTGGTTTTATCTACAAAAATTCTGCTACCACAGGGGACTGTATTTCGTGACATTAGTATATTTCAGCAGTGGTCGAACGTATAAGCTGGATCGCTGGCAACGAGTCAGTCGTTTCGGTATTGCAAAGAGCCTTTGACGGCTGTCATCGTGCAGGTATGCACACACTCGGCCGCACAAAGCGCGGCGTAGTTTATAGTTTAAACAGAAAACAATGCAGTTTACGGGATGCATTAGCGAAATGAATTGAGGTCACGTGCGGCCGGTGAGAAAATTCGTTTCGAGTAAAAAGTGATTACGGGCCCGGGACAACCACAGATGTTTTAACAATGAGAGAACGCTCCTGTTTGTACAGATAACGGGAAGGTATCGGCCGCGTAGCGCGGGCGACGCTTAAAAACTTGTAACGAGATAAAAAGCGAGCGCAAAAGTTGGACGATAAGTATTCCGATTAATAAAAGTTTCTCGCAAATTCCAGTCGTCTCATCAAAGTTAGTACGGGGAAGAGGAAGAAGAAGAAGAGGAAGAGGAGGACGAAAAAAAAAAGAACGGGAGTAAAATGTATGAAAGTTGAGCGCGGTGTCCCGGCGTCTCTTTCCTGGCCAAGAAGAATCGCTTTTTTGAAACGGCGACAGGGATGATTTAGAGGGACGGAACCGAGCCAACAGCGACAAACTAATTAGTCAGACCCGGGTCAGCTACTACCTATGACTACAGTCAACGCAAAAGGGCTCGATGCCTTTTTAGGGGGCGTGAGAAATCTTTAAGGGCGACGCTTCGTGTTCGACCGTCCTAAATTGTTATTACAAAATTAAATTAATATCGTACCTCACGAAAATTAAAAAAAATTTGAAGATAAAAATTCATAATTCCTGACGTTCATCACAGATGACTATAAATAAATTCTATAAATGCAGAAGCCATAATAAGAATGCTAGTCGCACTTCCACCAGAATTTGTAGATGGGGAATTACTAAAGAAGTTGAAAAGGGAAAATAGAAACAGTAGGGCAGAACGTGTCGGCCACGTCTCACGGATATATCGAATTTAATATTTCGCCAGATGAATCGAAACAGGATTACATGTAGTTTCGGCTGGCGCGATTCTGCCAGAAACACGTAGCAGGCGTTCACACGAGCGCTCGTCACGCGCGTAATACCGCCGGAATGAAAGCCATCCAGAGTTCGTTCCAACCCCGTGGATGCGATATCACGCCGGGAAAGGTTGCTTGACACTCAATAACAGCGCCGTTCCTTGTAAACGAGGAAAAGCGTTGCGCAGGAGAGTCTATCAACGAATCCATTGAAACGTCTTGCGAGTCGGTGAGTGCACGCGCCTGCTCTTTACCGTTCGGACGTTAACCCTTCCACTAGACGGGAAGAAAATTT